ACTAAGTTGGAAATAAATCTTAAACTGAAACTTTGCTTGTTTGCAAAAGGTTGTTTCATGGCCACTTGGTTCTACCAAATTGTTTGCCTTCAGTGTTTTGTGCTTATGATTAATAGACATCAGTGACAGACTAATTAATGACATTCTATTAAAAAGATTGGTTTACTAAGAGTGACACTAGAGTATTTTCACATAAAATGAGTTAATGAAGCAAAAGTCTTGTTACAAAAATGGTAATAGGACATTAGAGTACATTTGAAGGCAAATACTTTTGTACTTTTACTCAAGTGGAGGTCTAAAGGGGGGACTTCCACTTTTACTGCAGTAATATTTTACCTTGGGTATCTCTACTTTAACTCAAGTACATGATTTGTGTACTTCGTCCACCACTGCAAGTCAGTTGCAGAACACTTTACATTATTCAACTTAAGTGCAAGCTAGTTTCATGTAAAGTTGCATGAAAGTTTCACTGTGTAAAGCCAGGCATTGGAGTCAGGATGTCCCTGAGTTGTGGAGACAAGGGTAACTTCAGCATTCCTTCATCCCCATTCACTCAAACATGCTCCTAAGCAATACATTATGCAATTAAGTATGCAAACATTTCCTGAACTTGAAATACAGTGGGGTCCAAAAGGCTACTGAAAATACTTATATTTTGCATTTTTCATTCTGATTCAATAGAAGAGCACCCTTTGAATTCTCTCTTAATGCATTCACAATCATAAGATTCATCCACTTGGGGGAAGGGGTCCTACTCACATCCATTGTTACAAAATATTCTTTTACACATTGCATGCAGTTACACATTTACACCAGAAAGGTCTCCAGTTCCAAAATCTTACAAAATGTAGTTTTAATTTGGAATAGTGACCTAGAAATAGTAGAGAATATTAAATAATTCTTCTTCATTTTTATTTTTTATTATTTGTCAACTATTCTTTGTTTTATTTTTTTTTTAATTCTAAAACATTCTATTGTTTATTTCCAGGTTATCCAATATTTTTACCATGGACTCCATGGATTTTGGTCTGTATATTAGCAGCAACTTTGGTTGGCCTGGCTGGGTGAGCAGTAATCCAGACTTGCCATTGGTATTTAATGGTTTTTAATGGTCAGATATCTTGTTTTTAGCTGGCATGAAAGTAACGTTTGGAAGTGAAGTTGTCTTCACACCATTTGTCACCAAACGTGCTTTCTGAATTTTCTTTTCTGTGTACTTTGGCCTTCCAAATATATACGTATATATATTCCCTCTGCTCTGAAGTGCTGTTTGTGCTTTCATTTTTATGATGGGGAAAACTTTGCCATCCTACAAGTGGCTCAGGAAGCTCTCTCTGTTTGCCTTGCTTCACTATTGATATGACAGTCTTCTCCTGCAAACATACATGAATTATCACATCAAAGTGTTATATAAATAAAAAAAGGCTAACATGCTTAATAGAAACTGAACATAGCATCTTTCTTAATCTGAGTAATGCTGCCATATACAGTGCTTCTAAGCATTCAAAGCATTAATATTTTTTCTACATGGTTTCACGTAACTGTCTGGTTTGGAAATGTATTTATTGTGTATTTGATTTGGGCTTAAATTATATCTGGAAAGTCATGCAAAAATAAAAAAAGATGTGCGCACGTGCCCCAAATACTCCTCTATCTTGTATTGAGGTCAATTACAGATTTCTGCGAAGCTACGATTTACAGCAAAGCTCAAATGAGAATACGGCCCTTAGTGAATTCAGGTTTCCATTTTACATTTTCACTGAAAAGTGATTTAGGACACCTTTGCTGCCATGGTGCCTTATAATTTAGGCTGTAAGTTATAAATATCTCTGCTCTTAGTCATTACATACAGCCTCCATTCACATCCCTCAGAGCTACAGCTCAGTAAAAGCTTTTCCCACATTCAATCACTGAATCACCTTCCACGCCTCATGATGATCACTTATCATTTTAAGGAAGATTCCAGAATATTTAGAAGATTCCAGAGTTAGATATATTGGGAATATAATATCTGAAGGCATATCAATTTTTTTCCCTAAGATTTAAATAATTTGCCAGAGGTAAATTAAATCAGTGCACTTTGAATATAAATGGAGTGATGAAACGACTGAGGTTTGGGAGGAGGACCATGCATCTGGCTCTACCATACCTCTACCTAAAGCAGAACTCCAACCCAGGCTCTTCTCCTACAGTCTCTTCTTATACTATAACCATATGTTGAAGACATGGTCTAAACTAGTAAAACGCTAACTAAAACCAGTAAAATAGGTCATCTATAACAAGAAAAATAAAATACCACAAAGGGTTCTTTGAGCGATGCCATAGAACAGAGGTGGTAAACTCCTTTTGTTGCCTATAAAATAAGTTATATAATTTCTAAAAAAAAATGAGTTTGGTAATTTCTACAGTTTGGTACTTTTCCTACACATCTGATTCAGCTCAGCAGCTAATTAATAGGTTTAGTAGGTGTGTTGAGCACAGGAAAATCACCAAGCTGTGCTGAACGCCAGTCTACGACTGCAGTTTGCCACCCCTGCCATAGAAGAACCAGTTTTGGTTACCTAACCCTGTTTGAAAATTTGTTAGAACCTTTAAAAAGTCTAAAGAATTTTCATATAATGTAAAGTAAGAGCGAATATTTGTTTTCTATCTAAAACCTCCATCATGTGAAGGTTCTTCAAGATTAAGAAAGTTCATGATTATAAAAATGGTTCTTTAAAGAAGGAAAAGTGTTTCTTCTATCATTTTTGGCACCTTTATGTTTAAGAGTAATGAACACTGGGCTTCACTGTTTATCTCAATCTCTGAAAATATAGCTGAAATACTGTAGGTACTCTGTCTATCAGAAATTGGAGATGCTACTACTACTGATACTGAAAATGGACTAAATGTACTTTTCAGGGTAATGCTTTTAGTTGCAGTCCCTTAAGTTCTAGGTATTACCCAGGTAAGTGTGAGTACAAACTCCACATAATTACTTTTGGTAGCATGATGGTAAGTTCCAAGACCATCTGAAATGCCCAACAGATATTACTTGGGTAAGTATTACACGGTACTGTGTAATTATTTGGGATTAAAAGTAGCAGGTAGTTATTTGACATAAAAAGATTGTACACAAGTACAAAGATTTTTACATAGTATTTACTAGTCTATTACCCACACATGAAACTGAATCTGGGCTGTAAAAGAAAGCAATAGTTTTTACTGGGTCCTTGCCATTTACTTCAGAAAACTATCTTTGTATTTTGTGGCACCTTTTTTATGCCATATAACTTACCTAGTACTTGGAGGTGTTTTCAATTTACTTTCCAGCATAAACATGAGACATTACATGAAATTTAGTGTCAGTATGTTTGTATCTACCACCTTGTTGCTGCAAATACTCTGGTGTTTCACTCTGTCATTAATCAGTTTTATAGCAAGAACCTGTTTGGTATTTCAGCGTAATTTAGTGAAACTGACTAGTACTCTGGAATTTGTACCTCCCACTTGGTTACTACCTAGAACTCAAGATATTATAAACTAAAGTGTTACCCTTTTTGGTTTATCTTCAAAAATGCATGATTTTTGCCCAATTACCCTCCTATTGTTAGACATCATAACAGCAAAGATACTGTTTATGTGCAACCAATATATACATATTTATTTAAGCACATTTAACACAGTTTCCACTCCCTCTCTGAATCATCCCTATCATACAGGCACAAGTTAAGTTATCCTGAAAAATTCGATGTTAAAAAATACCATTTTTCTCCATAATTTTTTAAATCCAAAAATTTAGCACCCTGTAGTATTGAACCTCTGATTATTAGCTATGAAATTAGTTTATTCTTTGGGAGAAAGTTGGCCTGTAAGTGTCATCGGATGTTGCATAGCACATAATTTAAGCACATGGATATACAGCAACAACTTGGCCACCACAAACCAAGCCAGCTGTTTGTTTGTCTCTGGAAAACAGGGAGGTGACAGGGAGGTGACAGTTTTAACACAAAAGGAGGATATTTTATGGTTTTCTTAAGAGGGCTAGAGCAAAACAAGAATGTCCTCTCAACCTGTTTCCAAGGTCCTTAATTTCAAATAAGTAATTTTGAGAGTGTAGAGCATGCCTTCAGTTATCTATTGTGGTTTGAGGACAGCATGCAAAACTGTAGAAATGAGAAAAAAATCTTGGAGTGCGCTGAAGATCAAAGAAAATCTAAGAGTGAAGTGTAGGATGGAGAACAAGGAAGAGATGGGGAGATGCAGGACTGCAAAAATTCATAATGGAGAATAGTGGCTTGTATATTAGTTTTCAAGAAAGAGTTTCAGGCAAACTCCAGATACTGCACAACTCTATGACAAGCCTACGCCTGTCTCATTGAACTTTTTCAACCAACAAATCAGCACTGTACGTCATGTGACAGTATTCAAAACTATAGGTGTGCAACTCCCCAAAAAGTGACAAACTGATGTCAAAACCATTGAATTTGCAGCACTTTTATTGTTCAACATCAAAGCATCCACTGAACTCAAAAAGTATAAATTTGATTTACAGACCACTCATTGGGGCAAAATGCTCCTGGCTGCTGTTTTCCACTTTTCCCCTTTTCTTCTTCCCCCTCCTAAATCTGGATCTCTGCCAGATGTGTCCAGATGTGAATGAGTTGCTCGATAAATTTTGATTGTGCAAAATAGCAGCAGTTATACACTGTAGATATGTCAGCTGCGTAAGTGTGCATTTATCATCTGCCCCTATTTACTGTATGGACCACTCACTTCCCACTTTAGCTCACATTCATAACATTTCTATTCGTTAGCAGATGATACTCCTAACCAGAGACATCTGCTTTGCATACAAGAAGTCTCCGAAGTGTTGAAGTAATTCTATTCCCTCTGAAAAACCAACCCTCCCTTTCAAGCGCGCTCCTCAATTACCAGTGGAATGAAGTTTGCCTCTCTGGCTCCCTGAGACACAGTCCTCTCCTCTGCCTGACTGAGAGTTTCTACAGAAGATCATCGGTGCTGAAGCTGGGATCATGGACAATAACCTTCAGTCAAGCAGCCAACAGGCTCTCTGCAAAGATGTGAGTCATATTTTTTCTAGCACAATTAATTTCACTACTTTAAGTGACTTCAAATAGCTATTAAATTGCATAAATACAATTTTGTATCAGTGTAAAAATACAGTGCTTTTATCTCTGTAGTGCACACAAAGTAGTGAATATCAGAGGAAGACGTTTTGTTTACAGATTTGCTTTGATTAGGTACAAACTAAAAATAACCTATATACCTAAATAACATATATACCCATACATACATATCATTATAAGATATTGCTTGCCCACATGACTATCATCTTGTGGGCAATATCATCAACTGAAAATCAGTCTTAAAAGTAACTTTAGACCACCAGACTAACTTTAATCACAATCAGTTTTGGTTTTTCTTCAACCAGTGCCACATCTCTGTATTATGTGTTATGCAAAAAGTTTGTGCATTCATGAATGGTCATCAGGTAATAATCTTCAATTCCAGTCAGGATTATACGATTAAAATTTAAGTTGAATATTGTTTTGATTGTGTTGTATGAGGAATGCAGTAAGTTTATTTTACTTAAAATCATATTTAATCCTTAAAATGCTACTCAAAAAATATCAGAGTACAGAATTTCTTTTAAAACACCTGAGGTATGAAATAATTAAATAAAATCTCATATACTTTGAAAAAGTCCACAGCTTTGAATAATGACAAATACAGACTTAAACGATTGTGTAGCAGGGAGTAATTTTCCATGGTGTGCTTTTAAGCATAAAATGTCTTATCTTTTGAAGGCTGTGATAACACTAGCTGGGACTTCCCCTTTTCTTATGCAGAGTATAGGAAAAATATCAATATATACACCAGAAAAATCTCTCTCTCTCTCTCTCTCTCACTCTCTCTCTCTCTCTCTCTCTCTCTCTCTCTCGCGCTCTCTCGCTGTCTCTCCCCTTTTCTCTCACTTGCTATTTTTCTCCCTCTTTTTTCTGAGCAGCAGGGGGCCTCAGGCTTCTCTACTACAGCACAGTCGTTTTGCTGATTCTAAACCTAAAACTGCTTTAATTCTGTTTTGCTGGCAGCCGCCTGCACGCTTGTCAGGCCATTTATATTCGGAGTGGATGGAACTCTGTCCTCTAGACAAGTTTCCACTGCTTATGCAACCTCTGGATTAGTGCTTCGACTCGGGCTGCATTTTTGTTCCATGCAGGGAGAAATTCTTTCTTCAGAGGAATTTTGGGGGCCCTCTGATTTTTGCCCTTCTGTTTCCCGACTAGCAGGGCCTGCATCTTGATGCATCTACCAGGAAGTTTATAATTAGGAAATCTCCATAGAAGAAAAAAAAGACAATCTATGGATAGCAAATGTACTCCTGTCAAGCATTCATACGTTTTTTGCTTGTTAATGTTATTATGATATAATGAGACTCCACATCTCAGCCCCAACACTCTGCGAAAGCCTCTTTTTTATAATTAATGGGCATTTGCGACAATTTAATATGTGGTGCCTTGGTGTTAAGAATAATATGTGGAGCCAGTACATTTGAGGGAGAACGGACCTCCTAGCGTGCTTTTCTGCCTCAGTCTGTGAGATAAAGTACAGCAGCAGGAGTCATTTCTTTCCTTCTTTTTCTTTAACAGATTCCAAGAGAATGTTATAAGCTCCTCTTTCAGCGAGACACATCCCTAATTGAAGCTCCATATTTCGTAATTCTGATTGGCTGTGTCCTCAGAGAGCCAAGAGCACACCACTGAGAATAGTGAGCTTTTACTCTCTCCCTTATGGAAGTCAGTTGGAACAAAAGCTCCCCTTTATTAATTTGTGGCCTTAAGCTTGGGGAATTAAGTCCAACAGGCGAACTTTTAATTTGGGACCATTTTAATAAATGTGACCTTTTGTGCCATTTCGGAAGAATTCAAATTGCCCATGTGATTATCATTTCATTCTCAACTGTGCCGTACATCCACTGCACATAGCTTCAAAATATTATCATACCACATTTTTGTTCCTGCATTCTCTTTCATGCCTCAAAATGTTATTGTACTATTATTGTTCATTTATTCTCTTTTATGACTCAATATATTATTGTACCATTTGATTGTTCTCTTATTCTCTTTAATGCTGTATCTACATCTTCCTCAGTGTAAGTGTCAGTATAAGATTTTTCTATTTTATTTCCTTTTTTTCTGGTAGGTTGAGCTGGGAAAGGAGAAAAATGCTAGATACCGGAGTTACCAACGTGGTGCCCTAATTCTGGGCTTGCTTTTCTTGATGCTGGCCCTTTGTATCTTTAGCCTGAGGTACATTTGGAGCTCAAGTCCTGCGAAGGTAAGACTTATAGTCTGTGAATTTACATGAAGATTAGAGAATGTTGCTGGATTAATTAGCTTACAATGAGATTTTCCATTAAAATGTTCTCTGTCTTTGATGCATTTTGGATCCGCTGTGCTCTCACTGTTGTTCTTACCAGGAAGAAATAGGAATCAGAGAAAATGGATCATGTACATTATCACTTACATTATTAGTACATCATTACATTCTAGATAATACTGTATGATTATTTTGGGTTAAATGTATGGTGTAAAAACATTGTAAGATGTACAATCACAAAAATTGTGGTTTTACTGGCTCCTTACGGTTCACATCAGAAAACAATCTATGTATTTTGTGCCGTCATTTTACGCCATATAATTTATCCAGTAGTTGGAGGTGTTTCTGATTTATTATATTAAACTAGCTAATGGGTTCTAGCTATTAACTTAACAAATAACAGTAAAACTTTTTGTTTTGGTATTTTTTCCAGTCTTTTATGAACATTTTGATTACCTTTAAAGTGGAGTTGAAAGATTTACATTTATCACAAGTTTATTTTTTTAATGAAAAATGCTTTTCTGCGTTTTCATGTCACTACTGAAAAACAAAAAGTTTTATTCCAAAAGTGGAGCCTTATTTTAGCCACACCCCTGCATTTTAGAACAGGAAGTGAGACTGCATCCTTGTCCCTCATGGCTGCATACTGAGCAGTTTTCCAAATGTTTCCCTAAGTCTGAAAATCTGTGTGAAACCTTAAGAATTGTCACTACCAGAACAAACAATTTTTGTTTTACAACAAATATGATGATTTTGCATGTACACTGTTCAAAACTGTGTTTGCTTGTGTTGGCTAGTCATTTACTGACTAGCATTTTTGAATTATGCTCAGAATTAGTATTATAATTGTTTTGGTAGCAAGAAAATGGAATGTTTACTCATTTGTTTAATGAAATGAACATAATTAGGTAGGTGTATGGTCACTCAAAGCAAAAAAGTCAGTTAAAAGTCTCAATTGTGATTTTGACTCTGACTTTAAACAGATTCGTTATAATGATCCATATCTGTTTGATACAGTGATATTAGTAGTTTTCCTCCTCTTTCTTTTCGTAATACTACTACGGTCACTCTTCTTGCTCCACTTTGAAACTAAGTAAGTTTCAAAATTCTTAGTAAGTTACATGTTTAGGGTGTTTTGAACTCTGACTTTGAAGCAGCAGGTGGAATGACCCATATACCATTGTTCTAATATCTCATCACTACAATGCTGATTTTGCACCTGAGACATAAACATTGAGTCTGACATTCTTTTTTTGAGCCTGTGTGTCACTTTAATCCCTTAAATGGCCAGAGACTGCCAGGGGGCCCAAAGTTTTATTACACACTTCTATAGCCTAAGAATAGCTCAATGAGTTTGCATTGAAGTCCCTGTAGTTACTGAATAATAAGCCTTAGTATGTAAAAAGTCTGGGATTTTAAGGTCTTAATGTGTAAAGATGTATGACGTCTTCTAAAAATCTGACCAGCACAGCGCACAAACACCACATTTAGGCCTGTTTTTTTTCTCTGTTTTTATCTTTTCTTCTTTCAGTTTTATCAAACAAATCTTACATAGTGCAGATTTAAGGATACCATTCACTGTGCCTTCCCCATTAGACAGTAAGAGCAGCAGAATTATTGCCTATTAGAAGGTGTCTGGGTTTTTCAAATTATGGTTCCTTTCGTGTTAATTTAATTTCATTATTTATTTTAGCAACATATGACACTAAATCCAGTGAGAACAAAGAAAGTCTTCAATAGTCAGACACACTTGTTAATTAGCTAACTTAGCCACATACCAGACATGTTGCATGTGATTTTTTTTCTCAGTTTTAATTGGTAATGCAGTCTTCCACACTGTTCAATCCACATCCCATGCTTCTCCTCGTGTGTCTTCAGTTTAGGAAATAGGTAAAGTTTCAACTCTTTTCTCCAAACTTTTGAACTATCAAGTACATGCTTCATAACACACAAAGCTGCAGCTTGAGCACTTATCAGATGTGCCCACGTATGCCTTGTTACAGTTGCTACTTTGGTCAGCAAATGTTTTGGAGGAGGTTATGAGAAGCCTGAGCAACAACTGACACATTCCTCAGCCAGCCAGTGTATTTAAATAATGCACTCAAAGAGAGCTTGGTAAAACAACATACTCTAAAGGGGAAATCCGCTGATTTTTCAATATTTCTGTAAATTTATAAGGTTGAGATCATTCAGAGAGTCAGTTTTGTGAAATGGTTCATTGCAGAGAAATTTACCAACTTAGATGTCTTTACAGTGGTGTTGATGGGAAGCGGAGGTTGTGGTATCTACAACGCATAGTCATTTTATTTACTATCCAAAACCACCCGTGAACCTACTCATGTCTTCTGAGTATGTAATGTTGATAGTAAAATAGTGGTAAATCTGAAAAAATGAGTTGTCACTGGGAGCTATTTTGCCTTAGAGAACCCTGCAATCACCTCTCAGGCATGAATGGGCTTTAAAAAATTAGGTTTTAGTCCAAAGCCTTCCCTTGAAAGCAATGTCTTTCATTTAATGACGTTCTGTGAGATAGCTTCTAGGGAGCTTTCTCATATAGTTCTTTTTAAATGAACCGAACTGTTCTGTTAAAATGTACCTGACAGGAAACCAGCTGCAAATTACCTTTTTGTGCTTTTTGTGTTCATAATGTAAGTAAACCTTAAAGGGGACTCTATCCTCTTTATGGTCTTTATCATTGATGAGATCTCAGACCAGTTGTCATTCAAACTTCTTTGGGACTCTGAGCCCACCTAGGAAGTGTTAGATTTTGGGTAGTGTTATTTGGGTTCACCATAAATGTTTGACCCCAAGGTAAATACTCCAACTCTAATAGTGCAATGCTATTAAAAATCATTAAACATCAGGAACTACCAGACACACCTAGAGCTCTCCTATTGACTGTGCTTAGCCCTTCCCAAAGCACATTGCACAAAGTTTAAAAAATGTAAACTTTAAATGAGCCGGTGCATTTGCTGCAGCGGACTTTGTTTTCCACTGTGCGGCATTTGCGCCTTGCATCCCATTGAAAATAACATGCTTGAAAGCGCAGCAGTGAATTGTCCACGTTCAGTGTGAAAGCAATGTTGCGTGCATGCTTAGCATCGGCCTTTAACATCACATAGGCTCTCACATCTTATTGCTTTAACAAGTCAGCGCTGCTGTCGTGTCATAAGACCACGAATGGTACTCTGCATGTGATATTTGGCTGTTTTTACCCACTAAGATGCAGGAAGGCTGTATCTATTTATGTACGATAAGTCTTGAGGTATTTTAACCATAAAGCAACACAAACTGGACTGAGGCCATTTGGTTTTCACAATGTAGAAATCAATCGGACCACAAAACGAACAACAAAAGAACCGTACTGAGAGGTCTGTGTCTGCTTGAGACGCTGAAGCAGTGTGAAATGCCCTTCAGACATTTTGTTCCAATCACCTGAATAAATCTGATTAGTAAATATCTCTAGAACAGAACATTTCACGTCAAACCAATCTCAATGACTGCATTTACCTCTTAATAATTTAATTATGTGGAAATTTTTAAAAATCTATCTAATTTAATCAAGATTCTACATAGAACATTTTGGTGACCTTCCTCAAGTGCCACTCTGGACAATAACCTATTTTCCCTATATTGAAACACTGGCCTTTAAAGGCGCCAACAAATTATCTAGCATTACATATAGTGATTAGCACTGTATAGCTTGTATCCAATGGCTATTCTTGAGGACAGAAGATGTGGTGCCAGAAAAAAGTGTCTGAAAAGTGTGTTGAAAAGGGACGCAACCGACTCTGGTGCTAACTGCTGAGATGGAAACATTGTAATTAATTCTTATAAAAGTAAAAAGTCAAATGACTGTTCAATGACAGAGATTATTCTTTGAGAAATAATACACAAGGAGCAGTATGTTATTGCAAATAACATCACAGCTATTGGTCAGAGAAACAATAGCAAATGACAACATCTATTCACAATATAAACAAAAATACCCCACACCCCCTAATATTTTTTAGAATACAACCACTATTTGTGCCTCTATTTTGTGCGACATTTTTCTATTTGTTTAAGTGTCAAGCAAAGACAAAAACATGGAAAAATGTGAAGCATCATTTCTCTTCTCACAAAACAATAACTTTTTACCCAATTTGAAGCATGATAAATGACCTCCTCTTCTACTGATGAACACAAATGTGGTCAAGGACAGGGGACAGGGGGGTGCTGAGGGTGTGGCAGCACCCCTAGATTTCAGAGTTGGTTAGCTGTAACTGTTAAAGTTAATAAAAAAAGAACTAAACTTGAAAACTTACTTAAACATAGTACAGTACTTGTTGTAGAGTGGAGTTTAATTTATATATATATTTTAAAAACCTGCAGTAGCCGTGCACTATTTACGTTAATGTATTTTCATTAAAGCGAGCTGATTCGCTCTCCCTCGCCCACTGCTGGCAGCATTGGGGGTGCGTCAAAAGCTGCCTCATATTGTTTTTTAAACTTGTGAAACACGTAATGATGTCCTGCGCTTTGAATACGTTCTTTTTTAATCAACCATTTTATCTCCCGATTGGAGTGTGTGGAGTGTGACAAAACCACGCCACACATCAGCAATCTGACTGGACGTCACACAATTGATCTACATAAAAGTTTATCCAGAAGAAGAGAGAGCAAAGAAATCTGTGGTTCAATGTATCAATTAAGTGGATCGTCGTCTCTTGCCATGTTAAGGCACATCATGATCTGCGTCAGAGATTCTCTAATATAAGGGAAGATGACAGTCCTCTGTTGTTTAGCATTGGGGAAAAGCGCAATGCCCAGCCTGGCCAAACAAATCAGACCTTGTAAGTTGTAAGCCAGCTTTATCCAAACATGATGTCAGCAAAGCTCTTCCAAGTGTTACAACAGTTCTCTTCAGCAGCGGCAGCACCGAGTCATCAACGTTTACAAACCTTACAAAAATATTG